GAGTTTCAGCACCGCACGTGACAATGGCAGAGGCGCCGCTGGGTGGTCAGGAGACACTGACCGGTCGGTAACGTCACGTTCTCGCACCCCACACTGCACGCAGCGTCAGTGCAGGACATCTGCACAAAGTACGATGGGGACGGTCCTGGGGCACTTGTGGTTGTCGTGGTGGTTGGCTCGGGAGTGGCTCCGGGGCCGCCGACCACCGCGGAGCTCGCCTCCTCCTTGACAAGGCATTGGTTCGAGCCCTTTGCAATGCGGATGTAGCCATCCTCGCCCCACTGCGTGGTCCACGAGTTCTTGATGACCCAGTACGGCACTGAGGCGCTGTCATTGTAGTCGACGAGAAGGACGCCGGATCCCTGTTGTCTGTTTTTCTCTCGTGTTTCCTTAAATAAATTCGACGGCTTGCATTGCAGCAAGACGTGTCTCCAGACCCCGTGGTGTTACGACTGTGCCCCGTCACGGCGCGGCTGCTCCGGGCGCCGGTCGATGCCGTCAGCCCCCGCGCCAACAACCACGACCCCGTGAGGGAAACATGGCTGGGTGTTGTCTTCTCCCGACAATACGGGGCAATTGACCCTGGCAACGCGATGGGTTGGCCGGCACCGCCAAATTTATTTTTTTCTGATAGTCCTGTTTTTTTTTTTTAACTTTTTTAAAAATTTTCTAGCGGGAAATGTCAAAAGCCCCGGCGCTGTTCTTTCTGCAAGGCACTTTGAAAATGAAGACACTGAGACTCTAAAGTCGTGTAGAAGTGTGCCGCGGCGGCCGCGCGATGGATGGAATGTTTGTCGCCTTCTCTTCGGCTTCATTTTTTTCTTTACCCTCATTGCATGTTTGCTGCGTTGTGTGTCCTTTGTCCCTCAAAAAAAAAAAAAAAAAAAAAAAAGGAAAAGAAATGCGTCACAACAACACTGCCATGTCCTCTCTCTTTTCCCCGCGCCGCCTGTGTGTGTGTGGAGAAACAGGTGACCAGCAGTAATACGCACGCGTGCATGCACCAGCGATCCATCCCTGGCACTTTTCCCAGACGCTTCCCTTGCCCGATACGCGGCAAAAACAGAGTTTTTTTTTTTTTTTTTTTTGAGCGCCGCAGTGGGTGACTTGTTGTCTCATTTCGCACCGAAAAACAACAACAACAAAAACCAACGAAAAAAAAAAAAAGAAAAATTTGTGGATGATTATATGCGCACGCATCCTTGTCGAGAGCGTCCCTCTCGCCTCCTCTCTCTCTCGTTTGGGCCACGCTCCTCTCCACCGCACTATTTATTGCCCCCTTTTCCTCCTCCTCCTTCTCTCTCCTCCTCCTGCTGCGCGGGTGGGTGGACGGCAATGATCGTGTGGAGCAGTGAGCGCTGCCGCATCGTCATCGTTCTTCTTTTTTTTTTCTTTGTTTTTTAGGAAAAAACTCTTTTCTTTTTTTTTTTTGTTTTTTTTTCCCCCTCTCCCTTCCCCTTCATTCGGTGGATGGGTTCTCCCCTCATGCATGCAGAAAGTGAGAAAACACCTCACAAAAACAAAGGCGGCAAAAAAAAAGAGGAAAAGGCAAGAGGGGAAGAGGGGGATGTGTGGGGGGTGGGGCAAAAAGAGGGGGGGGAGGAGAAAAAAACACAAACAAAAAGAACGGCTCAACAAAAAAAAACGGGTTTGACGTCCGTGCATGTCTTCAGCCCGGCACGCAAAAAAAAAAAAAAAAGTAACATTACAAATGGAATGAGAACGCAGTAAAAATAAAGTACCAAAACATTTCCCCTGCCCACTTTCCACCACCACCACCACCACCTCCTTCGCTTCTCTATTTCTCCCTCTGCCGGCCTATTTTTGTCTCTCTCTCTCTCTCCCCCTCTCTCCCTCTCCCTGTGTGTGTGCATGAGGGGAGGGGGATCCAGACATAAAAGTGTAAGCAATGAAATCTCGTTTAAAACAAAACAAAACAAAAACAAAAAAACAACAAAAAAGAGGGTGTTGGGGTGTTTGCATTGATAACAACAACAGCAACAACAACAAGAAGAAGAAGTTCTCTACCACCACCATCCGTGCGGCTCATTTTGAAAGCGAACAAAACCAAAAGAAAAAACCAAAAATAGAAGGAGTAGTTTGCATGGATGAGTAGAGGAACTCAAAAATAACAACAAAAAACAAAAACAAAATAAAACACTTCTCTTCATTACACGCCACTCACTCACTCACACTTACAGGCAGGCAGGCAGGCAGGCAGCCGATTGAAAAAAAAAGGGCGCATGTGCCTCCCTATCTGCCTCTCTCTCTCTCTCTCCCTCCCTCTCCCTCTGTGTGTGTGTGTGTGTGTCTGTGGGAAAAGCGGGTCAAACAACAAAAAATGCCATACATGCGTTAAAAGTAAAAATAAAAATAAAAATAAATTATTATTATTTTTTTTCTCATAATTAAAAGAAAAAAAAAAAAGCAAAAATGCAAAAATAAAACAACAACAACAACACCAACCAAACAGACAGGCAGGCAGAGAAAGAGAAAGAGAGAGAAAAAAAAAAAGGGTCCCTACATGAAATTTATATAAAAATAACAATAAATACGCATAATTAATTTTACAAAAATAGGCGTGTGGGAAAAAACAAACAAAAAACAAAAAGAAGGGAGAGGGAAATTCACGGCAAACCAACAACAACAACAACAACAAATACGCATACACACGGCTCTGTAACAAATTGGAAAATCGCAAGTAAAAAAAAAAAAAGGGGTGGGTGGGTGGGTGGGTGGGGGGGGAT